TATTCTGCAGGGTCTCAGCTACATTTCATACAAAGTGCTTATCCCAGTGCCCCACAATAGTCATGTTGCCTATTGTGATTGTAACACAAATGAGAAATTGTGAATCAGAAAGGACTAGGAGTCTGCATTTCAACACGATGTCAAAGTGATTCTGATGCAGGTGTGGCCATGACCATGTGTTGAGACATGCTGTTCTGGGGTATACAATGATTAATTGCAGCCATCTTTTTAAAACATAAATGGAATCGTGTCATTTTTCAGTGGTTTTCCAGAGCTTTCAGGACACACTCAAATGCATTTATCTTAATACTCAAGGCTCCTCAGGACCGAGAGCCAGTGATTTTCCAATTTTCGTGTGCATCAGGATTACTTGGGCATCCTGTTAAATGCCTGTTCCCAGGTTCTGTACCTAGGGCTTTCAAGGAATCTGTGTGTTTATTAAGTTCCTGGAGACTTCTGATACCAGGACCACACTTTGATGACTTTAGATTAGGCAAGTATGAGATAGAGACAGAGAGAGAGAGAAAGAGAAACAGTGAGTGAGAAAGAAACCTACAGCCACTCCTGGAGGACTGGTTCTCATAGTCTATTTAGAACTTTAGGTCACTGTGCAAAAGTTAGTTAAGCACATGTATGCAAATGCAGACTTTGTCTACACCAGAGGGCAAAAACTGGCAGCCGCAGGCTGAATTAATCTTGCAAATAATCTGTGTGGGCTTTTTGGCCTGCACGGTATTTAATTTCTTTGAATGGTTGCCAAATTTAAAAAATGTGTGGAGATTTCACATTAAAATCTGTATTTTTCAATTTCCTTAAAAGATAAAAAGATCTGATCACAGTTACATTTTCCCATGGCACTATTTGGCTGATAGTGGAAGATGTCCTTGGGTGAGATATATGGCCTCAATTTGACCCTAGTTCCCAATACTTCCCATTCATCACATCTAACCTGTCTTCCTCATTTACATTGGCTGCCTGGTGCTAAGATACTTTTGAATTTGTGATAGGATCTCCTCATGCAGCTGAGGAGTGTGTGTGTGTGTGTGTGTGTGTGTGTGTGTATGTGCGTGTGTGTGATCTGTCCTTGGTAGTGCAGATTAAGGCCAAATCAAAGAAGGGTTTAGTTTGGTCATGACATGTATATCAACAGTACCCATCATGGGAACTCCCATTAATGGAAGTTTCTGCAGATCTCCTCTCGGATGAAAAACCCATCCCAGGAAAAGGTACTCAGAAGATGCTTGCAGCAAGGCAATTGCCCTGGTCACAGCAGTCCATTTCTCTACTCAGGTGATAATGTACAATAGGAAGACCTCCACCAACCAACCACCCAAGGACAGACTTTTACCCAGCCTTGAGGAAATTAAAATGAAGGCCACTCATACCCTTCTCTGAAGGCAACAGAGCACACATAGCTAAAGGCAAAGAGACACACACACACGAATATATGTGCATATAGCGACATATTCTGATAGGCATAAATGAGCATTAAGTACATATATGTTTTACATTAACAAACACACACATGATTTTGGTAGTGCTAGAAAAATCATTCAATAGGATTAAGTGATAGCTTGTGAGAGATTGAAAGAAAATGAATCTAAGAACTCTCTTATTAGTAGTTGCATGAAATAATAGAAAGATCATAGGCTTTGGAGTCAGTCCTACAGTGGCTTTCCTGATGTGTACTGAGTTCTGCAAGTAATGGGCCCAAACTAATAGAAGGGAATCAAATGAAGTTGGCATGATGGTGGTGCACTGAATCAAGATCTAGGGGCCACGAGTGGCTGGTTCCAGATCTCCCATACTCCCGCACCCCTGCTGTTCATCTCGTCACCTCTACTCCCAGGTGAGAAGCATTTTGCACTGGAATCCCCCAACTCACAGGTGACCTGTAGCCATGCCCTGTCGCCTGTGCTCCCCTGGCCTGCTCAGCCTCCTCTCTGCCTCCTTGGAGAGCTTTGCTCTCCTGTCTGGTGGTGCTCTGCCAGGCTGTAGACTTTGCTTGGGATTTACAGGTGCTGAGAATCTGGGCGAGTGCTCTAGCTCTCAGTCACCAGGCTTGCTGTCCCTGGTTAATTTCCCTGCTCGCCAACTGATTCCACCCAGCACATCTGCTCAGACTGTTTATCAAGTGACCTCAAGGGTTTGGAGTCAATGTTCCTGGCCATGGGTCAAACTGAGAATTTGGCTGGGCTTCAGGGGAGCACTCCCCGTGGCCTGTTTTCTCTCCTTCATAGACATCTTCCCTTTTCACGATCCCTCATCCCTTCTGCACAGCCCTGCTATGTGTGGCGTCCCCCTCTCCCAGGCCCACCCGCCTGCACTGTCCCCATTTGAAGTTTCCTTCCTCTCACTTGAGCCAAGACAGCTGCAGCGGCACTGCTCTCAGTCAGCTACCAGGAAGAAAGCCGGCTGGTCTAGCCCTGTCTGGGAGTCAGATCTCTATCTGCCTTTGCATCATCTCGTGGCTGGCTTGCCAGCTCTGTGCCTTTAGATAAGATAGCTGATCTTTCTGAGACTTAGGTAAAGCATTTTTTAAACGCCAGCAATAAAAACTAGTTGTTGGCCTAATTGCCATTTTCTTCCGTAAATAATAACAAAGCCCTTTTGGATTTCTTCCTCTTTTTTCTCCTTGAACTATACATCCTGGAAGCCAAGACTGAATATGTCTTGGCATAAAGACCTGTTTGGTGCATGAAGAGCTGGACTCAAAGAACACAGGACTTAATTAATTCTGGCTTCAATTGCTGGCTGGGTAGCTTTTAGCAAGTTACTCAAACTTTCTGATTCTCCATGACCTCATCATTACAATGGCAATAAAAATACCACCTTCCTCAAGCTTAGGGTTTGGGGAGGATTACAGGAGAGAGAAGGAGTGATCGATCTCTGTGCACTATGAAAATCTGTGCAAATGTTGAACTCGGCTACTGCTATGATGTTACAACCTCTGGCTGGAGAGAAGCCCTTTAATGACTACTTCTTGCACCTGCTTTGTTTCCTTCCTGTTTCCCTGGGGTTGTGGATAAAAGGGAGTGAAGGTCTGTACATGGATGTCTATAGCAGCATTATTCTTAATAGCCAAAAAAAGTGGAAACAACCCACATGTCCATCAACAGATGAATGGATATGTAAATTGTCATACAATGGAATATTATTCAACAATATACAGGAATGAAACAAACCTTGAAAACTTTATGCTAAACGAGAATCCAATCATAAAGGTCACATGTTGTAAGATTCCATTTATATGAAAGGAACAGAACAGGCAAATCCATAGGAGACACAAAGTAGGTCAGTACTTGCCTAGAGCCAGCGGAGGTTTTGTGGGGGTTGGGGAGTGACTGCTAATGGGAAGGGGTTTCTTTGGGGGGTGATGGAATGTTCTAAAATTGATTCTGCTGATGGCTACACAACTCTGATTATAGTAGAAATCGTTGAATTATACACTTTAATGGATAAATTACATGGTATGTGAATTATATTTCAACAAGGCTGTTATATATTTTAAAACAGGAGTAGAGGCCAGGCATATTGGCTCATGCCTGTAATCCCAGAACTTTTGGAGGCTGAGGCAGGAGGATCACTTGAGGCCAAGAGTTAGAAACCAGCCTGAGCAACATAGGGAGAACCCACCTCTACAAAAAAATAGAAAAATTGGCCAGCGGTGTTGACACACACCTGTAGTCCCAGCTACTCAGGAGGCTGAGGCAGGAGGATCCCTTGAGCCCAGGAGTTTGAGGCTGCAGTGATCTATGATCACACCACTGCACTCCAGCCTAGGTGACAGAATGAGACCCAGTCTCTAAAAAAAAGAAGAAGAAGTGGAGATACAATTTTGCTTTTTAACTTTTTCCACCTAGCAGGAGCCCTACAGGGGATCCCCTTGGGGGCTGTTTGGCTGCACTTGAACCTTTGACTTCCTGTCCACCATGGCTGGTTTCCTCCTTGTGCCCTTTGGACAGGCCCATGTGCTTTGTGACAAGCCCCCTTTGCTGGCCCCTGTCATTGGTTCCATTGGACCAAGGACTTCTCTCACAAGTGCCTCCTTCCTGTGCCGTGACATCAAGTGCCTTCATGAGGGCGGGGACCTGCGAAGGGTCTGGTTCCTCTTGGTGCCCCCTGTCATTGTCATTTCTCCAGTACAGTAGATGCAAAATGAGTATTTGTTGAATGAGTGATTATTTAAATAACGAAAGGGTTCCGCTTACGTTTCTCTAAGTATTGAGCTCTAGTATTGCAAGACCATCTAAGGGTTTGTTTCTATCTCAGGGCTTGTAGGAGCCTTACAGGGAGCAGAGGGAGTTCTCATGTAAAGTTCCATCTTTGCAGCATCTCACTGGGACGGGACTGACTGCCGCGTTCAAAGCCACATCAACAGGCCTAGCAGGACAGAGGCCATTATTCACCCCCAGGCCTGCTTAGCCCCCAGAGCCCACCTCTTTACAAGGCCCCTTCTAGCCTAGCAGAACAGGGAGAGCTTTGGAAGGGGAGGTTAGCAGCAGCTGCAAAAGATCAAAAACTGGAGAAGCCCAAAGTCATGACAGATTACTGAAAGACAGGAAATGCATGTCAAGCATCTCCAGCATGGGAAAGTGAGTCACCTGGGTTCCCACCACCTCACCAGGGTCACAGTGAGCTGCACAGCTGGTGTCAAACAGACTCCCCGGCTGGTGACCCCAGCCCTGCTCAGCCCCACTCAAGTGTCACTTCCCCTCTTGGCAAGTTAGAAGCAGCCGGGCCTGGAGCCCAGGGGCTCCACGTGACCACTCAGAACATTGAGCTGCAGCCCCTGGGCCGGGAGGCTTTGCCGAGAATGTTACTGAGTCTAGGGTTCCCTCCCCAGGTAGAAAATCCCCACCAGGCAACGCAGAGAAGACACCACCCATTGCATCATTAAATTATAACAAGCCCTGAAACTCACTCCAGAAGCCCGGGTCTGTTTGTCCTTGCAGTCGGAAGCAAGCGTGTGATTGGCTGGCCAAGCTCGGCCTAGCAGGCCTTATCTCTGGCTGGTTATTATTTGATTAAAGAGGCTTCCTCCTCCTGCGGTGTTTCAAAACTGCACCAGGAGAGTTTGCTGCTGCCAGGGGGACTTTTTCTGAGGTTACTGCCGAGCACCCAAAGTCCTTCAGCCATACAAACGGGAGGAGCCAGACCCCCTTTTTATTCGCCTGCAGCCTGGGGCTGTCTTCTCCAGGGTCTGGAGCTCAGCTCTGCGAATCAACTGGTTGGAAATAATTCCTCAGACACCACAAAGTCAAGGACGCAGGTATCTGCACACCTTGGGGTGGGGGTGGGGGTGGGGGTAATTTCTTGGGATGTCATGCCAGGAGACGCAGGGGTGTGATGGGGGCTGGGGCAGCAAAGTGGGACATGTGAGAGGCAAACAGTGGGAAGAGGGAAGTAGAAGAAAAGAGAACTGGCGATCCCAGGATGCTGGGGAAAGGCAGAGTGAGGCTCTTGGGTGCGAGCTGTGCACAGCTGGAACGAGGTACGAGCACGTTTGTGATGTAGCACCCATGTCTGCATGAGTTTGTTCCCTGTGGAATCCTTCCTGAGGTCTAGCCTCCCCCATGGCCTCCATGTAATCCCTCATCCTGGCTCAGAACCCCAAAGTCCTGAGAGAGTTTTGGACATTTTATGAAAAATCCAATTGCTCTAGCCTGGGACATCCTCAAATCTGATTTGCAAATGGGATGTGGCCTTCCAAGGCTCTGCTTGGTGGTGCAAATCCTTGCACCAATCCTTGTGATGTGGGCTGCAGAGAGATGAGTGGGGCTGAGCGCCTCCTTCATGAGAGTTTGTTGCCCACTTTGTCTGCGCTCTGTGTGTGATGTGCTGCGTCCATTCTCATCCCCACCATGTCCGCATCTCAGCGGTGTTTTCTGAGACTGGGTTGGGCGGACGGAGCTTTGTGTCAAAGGACTCCCTCACTACAGATGAAAGCTGGGCTCCGTGCAGGGCCGACAGGGATTGAACCACCTGGAATGAAGACGGAAGACAGAGGGAAGGACAGACTTCATCTTCTTTAATTTGGCTGGAGGTGGCCGAGGAGGACAGGATGTGATTGCAAAACATGCTCTTGGGGTACCCAGGGATTCCTGAAACTGATTCCTATATGCCTTGTAGGTTAAGAAATAACCTTGCCAATTGCATTTCCTTTCTCCCGTCTTGGTGGCTGTCTTTATTCCCACGTGTTTCCATCTGTGTTGTCTTAACTGTCAAGTGTTTGTATCCAGGGTGTCCTACTTTGTTACCTGCGGTGGAATGACACCCTGGCTGTGCTCCACAGGATGCAGGACACTCTCCCTGATGCCTGCCGTGGTGCCCTCGGGAGCTTTCTCTGCTGGGCTCATTGGGTTTCCTGGGGCTATGCAGAGTCACAGGTGCGAGAGGTTTGTCATAGCGAATTCTGCTCCTCTTTGTAATTTTAAGGGAAATGCCAAGAGGTGGAGGACGAGCCCATTGCAGGGGGTTTATGCTTCCTGGACCTGATTCTTCTTTGCTCTGTTGGGAGCACGTCCTCCCTTTGCCATTGTCCGGGACGCTCCGTGTCCTACGTGCCTCTTGGCCTCTTTTCCTACCTGCTCTGTCTCTGTCTTGCCATTGGATGCTCTTTCAGTCCTTCGCACCCACCACAGGCAAGGCTTATCATGTTTTCTCTTTTGTGCTTGCAGCTTCGCCACTCGTCCCTGCCCCAGGTCTGGCCGGGCGAGCAGATTACTCAGGGCTCCCTCTGAGTAAGCCGCCGCCTCTGCTGGATGTTGGGGCTCCCTGAACTTCCCCTTCCTGGCCCACTAAGCCACTGTCTTATGGCTGCTTGTTCCCGACACATTGCCGCCACCAGACTGACAGCTGTGTGAAGGCAGGGTCTGTGCCCGCCTTGTTCCCGGGCAGGCGCCCAGCCTGGCAACGTCCGGCACCCGGTAGATGCTTACTGGCAATAACAGCCAACATCAACGGAGCGCCTTCCCTCTGCCCAGCACTCCTCCAAGTGCTACACACTTATTAACTCACCTCCACAGCAAGCCGGCGAGGTGGGTGTCAACCCATTTAACAGATGAGCAGACTGTGAGTTAAGGAAAATACCCAACTTAGCACAGTAAAAGGCAGACTTTGGAGCCATGCTTTTACTCCCGTGCTAAATGAGCCAGTGAAGAATGAATGATTTTTTTAAAAACCCATAATATGCTGAAATTTAAAAAAAAAAGAATGGAAGAATGATAGCAGGCTAATGGCGAGAACACGGCGACTCTTTCACATGCTCGGTGGGACCTGTTCACTCAGCTGCGCCCACTGAGTGCCAGCCTCGTGCCAGGCTGGGCAGGTCCTTGAGGACGTGGGGATTAGCCACACAGACCCTGAACTGAGATGCTTTCTGTTCCGAGCTCTGCTTTGTCTGTCATCTTTATCGGGATCTGCTGTCCTGTCCAGCCTCTTACCTGCCTTGGTAGCCAGGTGTAACCTCGTAAGGGCTCCCTTCTAAAGACCCCCAGGGACCTGGAGTTTGGTCCAGCCCTTGAAGGATGCACTTGGGGAAGCCAGCACGGTCCGGGTGTGACTGTGTCTCAGGCATCGCGCTGGTCTCCTTTAGCCTCCTTATGAGGTGGCGGGGTTAGCACCACCTGTGTTTCAGATGGACACGCCAAGGCTGAGACAGCTTAAGTACCATATACCAGGGGCTTCCCCTAGACCCTCGGCGCTGGGCTCAGCGCGCCCTGGTGCCTGGGGCCCTTGAACACTCCTGTCTCTCCACCTGCCTCCCAGGTTGCTGGGTGGGGACTTCCTCCCTGCTTTGGGTCCTCAGCCCCCTCTTCCTTGCCCAGACCCCTGCCCTGGCACCAGCTCTGATGCTGGAGCTCATGGGCCCCACACTTGTGCCTGACTCAGCAAGACAGGCACCACCTGCCCGGGGACCCCAGCTTTGAGCTGCCCTCGGTCCTAAAGTGACCCCTTCCCCTCCCCTCTCTCGGGGAGTGGCTCTGGGGCACCTGGTCCTAGGACATCTCACTGGAAAAAGTCTTCTAAAACAAGGCCGCCAGTTTAAGGGACCCTAGTAAGTCCGTTAATGTTTTGCTGGAAAAGTACAGCTGAGCAAAAGGGTCATTCGCAGCCACAGCTGAATCTTGTTTTCTCCACTTCTTATTTAAATTGTCTAAGCTCTCAGTTCCTCATTTTCAAAATGAGCATAATACTTTCCCCATGGAGTCACTTCGAGAATGGAGAGTCTGTGTTCAACGGCGTCGGCTGTATGCCACTGTGTGCGACACGGGGTGGGGGGTGCAGGGCAGATCGAGGCAGAGAAAGCTCTGCCCTTGCGGGAGTTACAGTCAAACGGAGGTGACAGGCATTAAAAAAAAAGTCACAAAAATAAATAGGTCATTTCCATCTGTGATGAGAGAAAGGACAAAGGACCTAAGCGAGATGCGGCGGGAGCGAGTTGGAAAGGGGCAGTGATGAACCCATAGCATTTGGGCGTTAACACCACCTGGACCCCGCCGGATGCAGTAGGCGTTCAGCATGCGCCTCCCTGGCCAGGGACCTGCTTCTGTCTGCAGCTCAGAGCCTCTGAGAGAGAATAAAACGGGAGTTGGACCGAGTGCTTCCTAAGATGGAGTGCCCATCTCTGGCACGTGACAATTCAATGGCAGGACAGAGCCAGATGAAACGGGGGCCTCTGACCCCCCGTCCAGGGCTCTTGTTCCCCAGCTGCCTCTGCTGATGGAGACAGGCCAGGCCCCAATTCAAGGAAGGTGGGAGAAAGAAGTGTCCAGTCCTGCCTCCTAGAATCCCCTTTCTGTGCCCCCCCTACCCCTCGGCTGGAGCCCAGCACCCTCCCTCCCCTGGGGTCACTGTTTTCAGAATAAAACTCCTAAGTCCCTTCCAAGGAACTGTGTCCTTCCTGTGGACACAGTTCCCTATGTCTTTCCTCTTCAAGTAGCCACATGTCTAGCCCAGCCCGGGCCATGAACTCACCTGGCCGGTGTTCTCCCGTGGTGGAGTTCCGAGAACAGGAAGGCCACGAGGGGGGTGGGGGCTGAGGATTTGGGGATGGGCCCACGTCTGTTCCCTGCTGCCCATGAGTGCTCCCAAGGCTGCCCACTCCGCCTGCCCCCGGGAGCACCGTGTTCCTTTTGCGCTACACACAGTGTCTATTGTGAGCTCTCTGGCCCGGGCACGAGTGAGGCTCTTGCAAAGAGCTAGTTAGCATTTTTTCCAGACGAAGCCAGCAGCTCTGGGAGGTGGTGGGAAGGCTGAGCCTGCAGAGAGTGATGAAAGGAAATGATTAGCCTCAGGCTCCTGAAAGAATGGGGACCTCACTGTCTTCAATCCTCTCCCACCTTTCCTGGGGGTGGGGGCTGCCCCCTTGGCCCCCAGAGGCACATCAATTCTCTCTCCATCCCCTGGTCCCTACCTGGGGCCTCGCTCTTGCCCCAGCTGTCTGTTAGTCAATCCTGCCCCCTTGCTTGCTGGCCACGGGCTTACTGGGACCTCCCAGGGGCACTGGTGTCTCGGCCAGTGTTGCCTGAGCTATAATGGTGGGAAGACGGGTAGGAGCGGAAACTGCAAGGCACACAACTCCTCTTCACGTGAATTCAGGATTTGAAAGCTCCCTGTTTGAGGGGGTTTTCGTTGAGATAGGAACGGAGATGCTATGCAGTCCAACACTACACCAGGAGCATTTCCAAGGTGACTTTGAATAACAGCTTGTACCCCAAGGCAGATTACCCCCAGCAGGTCATAAGCGGAAAATGACAATGTGTTTGCAATGAAAGTTTGCCCTCATTGTTCAGCTTCCAGAACGTGCAGCCTTGCTCACCCCCCACCCACCACGGTGGGACCAGCTCTCTAGCTGCTAGTAGCGTGTCGGATGCACGGATGCACGTTGACAATCCCGAGTGTCTTGCTGAGCTGGCGCTAATTAAAACACTCCGTCACAGCCTCCCCAGCCACAGGGAGCAGAAGCCTTCTCCCGCCCGCTGCGTGCTCTCCTCGGCAGCTGGGCAATTGCTTACAGAGCTTCACGTTCGGCCCACAGCGTAGCTGTGTGTTGGGCTTCAACATCCTGCCAGAAATCAGGTTGGCCAAAAAAACACCCAAAATGAGTCTTGAGAGAAAGTGGCCTCCCTTTCCCTGTGGGCTGGACTTTCTCTGCAGGGAAGAGATGGTTGCTGTGGAACGTAACCCTGAGAGCTGCTGGTCACAGTGTGGATTTTTTCTTTTCTTTTCTTTTCTTTTTTGAGTCAATTCCAAAAAGTGACTATGAGGAACAAGGGCCTGGGAAAATTGAAAACCCTGGGCCTGAGAGCTCTCTAGGACTTGGCAGTGGGAAGCCAGGGGACCGAGGAAGTGGGTGCAGCAGGCAAGAGGCCGGCTTTTCCCCACCCCGGCCCAGCTCCCACGCGGACGTCTGCGGGCGCCATGGGAGAGGAGCGGTGCTTTTGCTCCAAGGTCCCCAGGCGGGTTGTGGGAGCTGCAGCAGTCCGAACCCCAACTGAGCACCTCTTGGGGTACATTTTGGAATCCGTGGGTTGCAGCTCAGGGGCAGCCTGCCGGGTGAGGTGCACCCACCAGGCGAAGGGCACGCACTGTTGTGTAACAGAAAGGGCGCCCTGCAGTCCTTGGATTGCACGGGGCTGTGCGGCAGCACTGTGCATCCCTGGTGTGCTGCCATCACTCCTTCGATGCCTCGCTATGCCGCCATCCCTGCCCCGTGTCACACGACAACAAGCTTCTTGATGCACGGCAACAAGGCATAGCGGCTGCTCTCAAGGAACTCGCAGCCCAGTGGAAGAGACGGGTGATGAGCAGGCAGTGCGGTGTAGTATTGCAGAGTGGAAATGGAGCCCCACCATAGAGCGGAGCCGCGTGTTCACAGCGTAGCCGTGTGTCCCCAGTTCTCCCCACGCCCCTCCCTGCCCTCGCCTTGGAACACCTGTCCCGTTCAAGCTGCGTCTCCAGCCTAGTTCTTCTCCATCCAACTCCAGTGGCCCCTTGACACTCACAGTACCCACGTTCCAGACCGTAGATGGGTGTTGGTCTGCGATGTTTTTTCCACTCTAGGGTGACATAAGAGCTAAGGACAAAGTAGCAAGTGTTTAATACAGACATATGTATTTAATTTGAGAAAATTCCCTTTGTCCTGAGAGTCTATCCTTGATCCCAGCTAACATCGCTGGGATGATCAAGCAATGGTGTTGGTTGATTGACAATTCATGTTTAGTCTGATTTCTGTGTTGTGACTGGGCAGAACAAAGAAGTTAGTGTCCCTTTGTTTACCGCACTGTGATAGCTCACAGTCTGGGAAGCACCATCCAACAGGCTGCTCCAACACCCAAGGCCAAACCCAAGCCCTTGGTGTGTCCTTGTTAGTTTCCGATTTCCCAGTGTGTAGCAGAGTGGCAGAGTTGATGTATTCAAACTCCACTCGCTTCCCCAAGACACTTAGCTGACTGTGGCAGCCAAATCCTTAAATAGAAACTACTGTTTTCTTGGCGTCCCAGGCTCTTGTATGTTTAATGCCCCAAGTATCTGCTTTCTGGGCCAAACTCATGAAAATCTAAAGGGGAATTATCCGTCTCAGAAAGCAGTTGTAATGGAAATAAAAGCCATTAGTACTCAGTGTTATCAGGATGTTTAATTTTTCATTGATATTTCAAGATAAAAGTTGATCTTCGAAGTTGCGTGAAACTCAGGTCACCAGCTTCCACTTACATGCAGCTTAGAGACTGCTGCAAAAGATGCCAGTAACCCTGGTTTGGGATAGCCCAATTTTAGGGGTCCTTTATTCACCTGCCTAGGTTAGAGGATCTTGCGGTCATCAGATCTGCTCTGGTTAAATGGATCCCCTAATGCATCTGGCTATCCTGACATTTTAGATATGGTCCAGGGCACTGGAAGTCCCCCAGAAAGCTTGATGGATAGAAGAAAATGTCTACTAAGCAAGCCAAATCCCAAGAATGCAAGTGGTGAAGTCCAAGTTCTTGGGCTTTAGTGGAATGTTTCTGTGTTAAAAGTTGTTTAAAATAAGCAAGTCATGCTAAGCTTAGATATTCAGCCACAAGGGTGGGGTTTGCTTTACATCTGTTTGCAATGTTGGCTTCATTCTGTGACAGCAATTGCAAAGTGGATTCCTGTGCTTGGATGGAGTGCTTCCTGAGGTCAGGGATATGCTTTGTGATGTTGTTGGAGATGATGACACCCCCTTTTCCCTCTGCCCATCTCTCCTTTGGGACCCAATGCATCTCCTGGCACACAGGAGGCCAAAAAATGGTTGCTGGTGACAATGAGAATTCAAATAACTAATACATTTTAGAGAGAATCAGTTTCTACCTTGATCTTAGTTATTAATATTTTTAACTTGCCTGTTTAGTTATTAAAAGAAACCTGTCTTTGGCTAGATCATTGTGTTTGGTTTGCATTTCTTAGAAAAGGAAGGAGTGGGAACATGAGCAGCAAAGGCCTCTAGGGGAACATTCTGTGTTCCCTGTCTCTGAATCCTCTGGAACGTGGCTCTGGTTGCTTATTTCGGGGTTGCTTCAGGCTGCAGAGCAACAGGTGTGTCCACTTGAACTTACATGATTGTGCTTGGTTTGCCTGGACTCTCCTGCCAACACAATCTTTCCTACTGAACACATTCCTCTTGCAGCAGGCAGCTCATCAGCTTCAGGTCATGGCAAGAACATCATAGAAGGTTTCAGGGGATGTTTCTCATCAAGGCTCTGCCAGCTGCATGGCTCTGGGAAAGTCTCTTTATCTCTCTGGGTTTGCTTTCCTTATCTGTACTATGTGTTGTATTAGATCAGAATCTCTCAACCTCAGCACTATGGACGTTATGGGTCAGACAATTCTTTATTGTGGGACTGTCCTGTGCATTGTAGGATGTTGAGCAGGGTTCTGGTCTCGATCCACTAGATGCCAATAGGACCCCTCCCTTCATGTGTGACAACCAAAAATATCTCCAGACATTTCCAAATGTCCCCTGGGGGCACAGTCACTCCCAGCTGACAACCATTGGATCAGATGTTATCTACCTGAGTTTGAGAAACCCACATTAAGAGTTGTGAATACATCCTATTTTATTGAGCTTCTAAGTGCTGGGCACTGTATTCGGCTTTGCTGCTTAAACATCTGTTTCCAGATATTCTATTGAGAAAGTCCACCTACTTCATGAAAATCAGAATTAGAGCTAAGCTGGCATCTGCATGGGCATGGAAGTAGAGTGGAAAAAAGAGATAGAATTCCTGTTGAGAGTCTTACTAGCCATGTAGCCTCAGTTTTCTCATCTATGAAACACCAGATTTTCACATTGTTGTCAGGACCTAATGCTCAGGGTGTAGGAAAGCAACTGGATCATAGCTCACGTGCAGTAATTAAACTTGTTCCCCTTTGGCTCTCCTATCTCTGAGGCGGTCAGATCTACAAAAGCCATTAGCTTTGCCAGTGTTGCTCTGCTCTTTCCACAAACCTACCCTTTGCTCCCCACCTGTCCCCCAGCTCCCTCCCTGGTCAGGCCAGCATGATATGTCATTTAAAAAACTGCCAGGGGAGGGGGGCAGGTATATACATACATAATGAGTGAGATGTGCACCATCTGGGGGATGGTCATGATGGAGACTCAGACTTGTGGGGGGAGGGGGGGAAATGGGCATTTATTGAAACCTTAAAATCTGTACCCCCATAATATGCCGAAATAAAAAAAAACCCAAAGGTTTGTTTCAAAAAGAGCCCCTCCACCTGTTATATAACCAGATTGTCGGTTTGGGTCACTTTTGCAGGGGTGAACTGTCTTTATAAAAAAAAAAATTTTTTTTCCAATAACCAGAAATTTGCAGACACCATTGCCATTTGTTTGCTTGTGTGGGACAATGACAACAGGGCAAGGGAAGTCCTACTAAGTGCGTTACCAGCACTGCTCCACCTGGGGCGCTGATTGGGGTCTTATCGCCTCCCCTGGGTTCTCAGGGTCTTGAGGACTCGTGGGCATCTTCAGCAGCTGCCGCACCGTCTGCTCCAGGGAAAATGTCTTGGTACGTGGTAGCCTGGCATGAGGAGAGGCAGTGTGGTGCAGTGGTCGGGAGTTCAGGCCAAGGGAGTTTGAAGCTGCATTCTCCTCCTGGTCAGACCCTGGCCTGGGCCTGCAGGGGACATGAAGACAGTGTCGTTCTTGAAAAAGTAGGCTCAGGCTCAAATCCCAACTTTGCCACCTACTCCCCGTGTGGCTTTGGGAAACGTATGTCTCCTTCCTGAACTCCAGCTTCCTGTCATGCCCAAGAAGTCTGTCACCACGAGGGTCCTTCCCTCACTGGGCAGTTGTGAGAATTAAATCATAGAAATCATGGGAAGCAGGTGGCACATTCTGATAAATACTAAGTGTTCAATAGAAATTCATTATTATAGATAATATGTATCATCTTAAATGGTAATTATAAACAATAATAAATACAATAGATGTGAAATAGACAATGAAAAGTGGAAGTTTGGGTGAATGAAAAGGCTTCAGGTTGATTCATTCTGTTACTGATAACAAAATAGGCTCAAAAAGGCACACAGCAGGGAGGGGTAGCCAGGCCCTCCGTGCTGGCTCATGGCAGAGCTGGGGCACGTGCCACATCTCTAGAGTCCCCTGCAGATGCTAGTTCCATCATGCCGGGGGCCGCTTTCCTGCTCAAACATTTAAAACCTGTGTTTAGAAAATTGCACAAAAATTGAGGAAAATAAGCTTTAAGAGGGCCTGGTGCAGTGGCTCACACCTGTAATCTTAGCCCTGTGGGAGGCCGAGGCGGGAGGATCACTTGAGCTTAAGAGTTCGAGACCAGCCTGAGCAATAGCCAGACCCTGTTTCTACTAAAAATAGAAAAATTAGCTGGGCATGGTGGCCTGCAGTCCCAGCTACTGGGGAAACTGAGGCAGGAGGATCACTTGAGCCCAGGAGTTTGAGATTGCAGTGAGCTATGATGATGCCACGGCACTCTAGCCCAGGGTGACAGAGTGAGATTCTGTCTCAAAACAGTAAAAAAGAACCATGTGATTTTTGCTGAGGAAATCTTTCTTGTAGGCTGCTTCTTGAGGGACTCTTTCTTCAGAGGGAAGAAGAGGGAAATGGATATTTTGTCTAATACGTTTCTAATTACCTAGAGCTACCCCAGAGAAGGGAGTTCCGATTTTCTATCTTAGCTACATGGAGCAGGAAGAGGAGACTGAGTGTATCATTGTCTCTCTCTCTCAATCTCTCTCTTTCTCACAAACACACACACACACACATACATACACACACACACACACACACACACACATACACACACACATACACACACATACACACATACACACACATACACACACATACACACACACACACACACACACACACATACACACACACATACACACACATACACACATACACACACATACACACACACACACACACACACACACACACACACACACACACACAGAGGAAGTTCCGTGTCTCTTTCCCAGCAAATGCTGAGAGGAGGCCCCATCCTTCCCACTGCAGCCTACCCTAGCCCGTTGCTAATGTGCAACTGAGCATTACTGAAACCACCTATTTGTCCTTTGGTCTCCCACCTTCTCAAAGTTCAGCCCTTGCCGCCCAGCCCAGGCTCAAGGGACTGGTGAATTGATATTTTGCTTTAATGCTGATATTCAGTCTCCAGAGCCACTCAGAATCACTAACAAGGGAGCACAAACAAATAATGGTCACCTTCCCACAGTGAGATCTGGAGAGATTTCTCTGTGCTGGCTCCGACTTGTGATTCATATCTCGTCTTTCACCTCTGGCCAATAACTCATTAATTTGCTTGAGAAGGAAATACTGAAGTGTTCAGGCGCACTGGTTAAAAGAGGAAGGGGTTGAATAGAGTGACTCAGGACTTTTTCCTTCAATATTGACTATTTTAGACCTGCTTGGAATGAAAATTTATGTAGGTTTGTTAGGGCGTTGGCATGTGAAACCATGTGTGATTACAATAGGAATGGAACTTGGCTTAAAATGGAATGAATTATTTGGATTAAACTCTACTGTAATCTTAAGTGATGGTTATAATTCAGTCAAAAGGTTGAATCAGTAGAGTCATCATTCCTATCAGAACCCTATCTCCTATTTTGACTTTTGTTTTTGATACAGAGTCTCAG